TAGAGAACAAAGTGGGGGAGAGAAACCATAAGAGGGAAGTTTCGAAAGTAAAGACTTGTGCCATACCTTGTCAAATGCTTTGGAAATGTTGTGGGCCACGACGAAAGTTTCCCCATAATCCCCGAGAGAGGATGACCAGTGTGGTTGTTTGTGGGTCATATAGTTGTTTGTGAGTCAGCATGGTTATTTTTTGGGTCAGTATGGTTGTTTGTGTCATATGGTTGTTTGTGGGTCAGTATGGTTGTTTGTGGGTCAGTATGGTTGTTTGTGTGTAAGTATGGTTGTTTGTGGGTCAGTATGGATGTTTATAGGTCAGTATGGATGTTTATGGGTCAGTATGGTTGTTAGTGAATCAGTATAGTTGTTTGTGTGTCAGTATGGTTGTTAGTGGGTCACTATAGTTGTTTGTGTGTAAGTGTGGTTGTTTGTGTGTAAGTTTGGTTGTTTGTGTCTAAGTATGGTTGTTTGTGTGCAACTGTGGTTGTTTGTGGGTAAGTGTGGCTGCGTATAGGTCAGTATGGTTGTTTGTGTGTAAGTGTGGTTGTTTGTGGGTAAGTGTGGTTGTTTGTGGATCCGTATGGTTGTTTGTGGGTAAGTGTGGTTGTTTGTGGGTTAGTATGGTTTTCTTTGGGTTAGTATGAGGGTGGTGGGGTCAATCTTATTTATTTCCATTTAGTTGACATGCTAAAGTTACAAGTGCTGGAATGTTAGTTTTCAACCTCTGAGTATTCTGGTAACTTTCTAGTGGTCAATAGAAGTATATTCCAGTCATTAGTGTCTCAAAACGTATGGACTCGGAGTATGCGAGAGTATCTGAGAAAAGTATGTGAGAACGATGTTGATGTCTACATAGAAAACGGAGGCTCATAGGAAGCTTATTGCGCCAAAAATTCCCCCAAGTTTCGGGAAAGTTTTATTTAGTCATGGTTTAATCTTGGTACATTAATCTAGATGCTTGCCGTATATCCTGGTCTGTGTTTCTAGGTATCAATGGTAATGTTGATTTCCCTCACGTTTTGTAGTCGTATAGTGATATAGTGCACTGTATAAGATGGTGTGGGGTACGAGATGTTTGATTCCTCCTCCATCCTGTGTGAGTGGTCACTCCGGGGTCACCATTCGTGGGGTACGTGATATTTGGTTCACACTCAGGATGGGATGGAGAAAGGAAACTCACAATGTGCTCTCTGTATACATGTTGTATTGGATGTACAATGCAGCTTGGTGCTGGGAAGTGGCAACGTGGTTACAAGCGTGATGTAGAGAGAGCTGGTTGGTGAGGGTGCTCAGAGGAGGACCAGCTTGTGGGTCGCCATGCTCGCCGGCGGGAGCGAGGACCGCCAGGCAGGAGTGGAGGTTGAGGTGTTGCTTGCTGCGGCTGTAGGTAGAAAGAGAGAGGTAGGTCACCACGAGGTCAGGTCTTATATAGCGGAAGTAGGCGTGGCTTAATAGTTGACCTCCGTCATGACAGGCGACGCTGGTTGACCTAGACCACGAGGCATACATTGGGGAATTCGCGGGGTCGGCTACTCAGCGACAAGCGTTTGTAGGGGAAGAATCCACTACAATACTCCCCCTTCCTTCCAGGCGGTGTAGGAGATTTGTTGTCTGCAGGGTTGCATGGCACATGTGAGGCAGAACGGGCGGTGCATGCCACATGTGAGCCATAACGGCGAGGGCGTGGATGAGCCGGCCGCTAGAGGAGACAACTGTCTAGATACACAATATCTGTGGGAGAAGAGAGGGAGAAAAAGGGTGTGTGGGGGCAATGAATGTTGTGCTTCCCTCGCGGCAGGTATAGAGTCCTCAGATGCGCCTGCTGGGGTGTGTGGGTCTGGGTCAGGAGCAGGGGCTGCGTTAGGAAGAGGGTCTATGACAGCAGCAGGGTGCATGACAGCAGCAGGGTCCACGACAGCAGCAGGGTGCAGGACAGTAGCAGGGAGAACCTGAGAGAAAAAAAAAGGGTGTGTGGGGCCGCACTCAGGCGCATTGGCCGCGTCGGGAGCAGGGGCTGCCAGGCAGGAGCGGAGGATGGTCCGCGTCAGGAGGAGGGTCTAGGACAGTGGCAGGGGGTACTGCTGGGCCGGGGGCGGCGTCTGAGACAGGACGGGTGTACTGGGGTCGGTAGGACGTGGTGCTTCGGGCAGGAAGAGGAGCTGGTGTCTGCTTAGAGAAGCAGTGCTGCTCTAGGGTGTCTAACCTGCGGTGTAGAGACAGTAGCTGTAGAGCCGATGAGAGCTGCCTCTGCGTGGATAAGCCAGTCTTCTACTCCTATCATCGACCCTCCTCCTGACACGGACCCTCCTCCGCTCCTGCCTGGCAGCCCCTGCTCCCAACGTGGCCCATGCGCCTGAGTGCGGCCCCACACACCCTTTTTTTTTCCCTCAGGTACTCCCTGCTACTGTCCTGCACCCTGCTGCTGTCGTGGACCTTGCTGCTGTCATGCACCCTGCTGCTGTCATACACACTTCCTGACGCAGCCCCTGCTCCTGACAAAGGCCCACACACCCCAGCAGGCACATCTGACAACTCTGTACCTGTCGCGAGGGATGCACAACATTCATCGCCTGCACAACCCTCCTCCCCCTCTTTTCTCCCACAGATCTCGTGTATCTAGACAGAGTTGCCCCCTCTAGCGGCCGGCTCATCCACGCCCTCGCCGTTATGTCTCACATGTGGCATGCACCGCCCGTTCTGCCTCACATGTGCCATGCAACCCTGCAGACAACAAGTCTCCTACACCACCTGGAGGTAAGGGGGAGTATTGTTGTGGATTCCTCCCCTACAAACGCTTGTCGCGGAGTAGCCGACCCCGCGAATTCCCCAGTGTATGCCTTGTGGTCTAGGTCAACCAGCGCCGCCATACATCACGGAGGTCAACTATTAAGCCACGCCTACCTCCGCTATATAAGACCTGGCCTCATGGTGACCTACCTCTTTTTCGACCTACACCAACCAGCAAGCAACACCTCCTCCTCCTCCTCCTGCCTGGCGGCCCTCGCTCCCGCCAGCGACCATGGCGACCCACAAGCTAGTCCTCTGAGCACCCTCACCAACCAGCTCTCTCTACTCAACGCTTGTAATCATGCTGCCTTCCCAGCACCATGCTGCATTATACATCCAATACAATATGTATACAGAGAGCACATTGTGAGTTTCCTTTCTCCATCCCATCCTGAGTGCGAACCCAGACAACCCGTACCCCACACTATAAATTTGGAGGCCCACTGATGAGTTTGGCCTGGGGCCAACAAGTAGGTAAATCCAGCCCTGCCCAGCACATAGCACTTTTGCGCCTTATCAAGCAAAGGACAGTCATCGAGGACGGGTCTACTAGTAACACAATAAATGATAAGAAAAGAAAGGCCTGGGATGAAATTACTGCCTCATTCAACGCCAGCAACCCAGACCAACCCCCTCGCACAGCCAAGCAGCTCAAGAGGAGCTACGAACACATAAAAAGGTAGTAAGTATATGCTTCCTTCTTAAGTTTAGTATTTAAAAATACGGTGTTTTTCCATTAGGTTACCAAATTGAGTAGGATTACAGTATTTAAGTGACGGATCATGTGAGGAATCCCACCTCTTACTGAAGTAGACAGTAGGAAAGCTCCCATCTCATCTCCCCATTTTCCCTTCCTTCATACAATTTTATGATCTCGTTGAGTTATATATCAGAATAAATGTTTTTTATGTCTACTTTCATAAATTATATATGCCTATATGTTATTAGATGCAGGTGTCTGAGTAAAATTAACCATATAGTTTAATATGTGAAAGTGTAGCTATCGAATTATTTTTACTCCTTAGAGTGCTAGGTTAAAATTGTATATGATATCTGAAAAAAATATGAATTCATAAGGAAGGTTCTGGTATGGAGGGTAGAACAGTAAAAAGGTGCCTCTGCCATACTTTGTTAGGTTCTCTTGTTTGAAATCTTTAAAGCCAATCTTTACCCATACAATGGCTATAGATGGTATCAGAACAATTGCCCCCATTGCCAGTGAATAACTTGAGCAAAACATGGAACACTAAGAATTAATGCTTTATTTTCATGTTTGTTTTTTTAGTAATAATTATATCCAAAAAATAACAACTAATACATTTTTTTAACACTAAAATCGGTAAATACAAAAACAAACAAAAAATTATGGTTAAGTGAAAAAAAATTGTGGATCAGTCATATTTAATATTTGGTTAGGTAGGTTAAGTTAAAGTTAGGTTAGGTTAAGTTAAAGTTATGTTAGGTTAAGTTAAAGTAAAGCTAGGTTATGTTAGGTAAGGTTAGGTTATTTTAAGTTAAAGTTAGGTTATTTCCATGTTTTGGGCCAGTTATTCACTGGCAATGGGGGCAATTGTCCTAGAACCATGCTATACAGCATATAACTCTATATGAAACAGGTATAAAGCCCCGTCCACACGATAGAGCAGGGCTATCAACTGTGTCTTCTGCACAATCTACTTTTGTTTTTCGACCTCTAATTTCACCCTCTGTTCCTGCCTCACCAGTCATTATGAGAAAAGACAAGAGTTCCACAAATATAAATTGTATACAATGAAAAGGGAGCACGAGGAACTGAAAGTGAAGGAGGCCATAATATTGTAGTGGATTTCTCCCCTACAAACGCTGTTCGTCGCCGAGTAGCCGACCCCGCGAATTCCCCAGTGGTATGCCTCATGGTCTGGGTCAACCAGCGCCGCCATACATCACGGAGGTCAACTACTAAGCCACGCCTACCCCCGTTATTTAAGACCTGACCTCGCGGTGACCTCCCTTTTTCTACCTACACCAACCAGCAAGCTACACCACCTCCTCCGCCGTTGCCTGGCGGCCCTCGCTCCCGCCGGCGAGCATAGCGACCCACAAGCTTGTAACCACGCTGCCACTTCCCAGCACCAAGCTGCACTGTACATCCAATACAATATGTATACAGAGAGCACATTGTGAGTTTCCTTTCTCCATCCCATCCTGAGTGTGAACCAAACATAACGTACCCCACAATATCAGCACATACACTCAAAGAAAAAGAATGTGAAACTGTAATTAGTGATTGAAAAGACACTTGAAAAAATGGCATCTAGATTATAAATTTATTTTCTTATGTTTTACACATTAAAATAATTTGATTTAAAGGAAATAAATCTACAATAATTTATTTTGCCAAAGAGTTTCATTGGTTACAAAAGCTGTCAGAAGTATGGCAGCTACGATTTTTTTTATATATCTATAATATAAGCTGTGATTTTCAGGAAATGCAGAGTCATGTATAGAATTTTTTTTTCTTAAATTTTCCACATTTTGAGAAAATAAATCTATATTTCTTCCTTTGGTTTTCTTCATATTACCTCACAGGTGAATTACCTTACATATTGAGTTAAGCTTCATTATTAAAGACCTCAATGAAGTAGAAATTAGACAATTTAAGGCAACATAATTTAAGAATGAATGACTATGCATTAAAACAGAAATAATATAGAACAAGTACAGTCTGAGAAACCACTGTTTTATTAAGATTTAATGACATGAATCGTTCACTACTTAAAGTAATGTTTGGAACGTAGTAGTTACCTAACTAACTAAAGCCGTATTAATTCTTAATGATTATCAAAGTAATGAAATAAATCTTACTGTACTTTATAAACTAAAAAAAATGCTCCACTATATACTCCCTCCTTGCTTGACCTTCATTATTTCCATATTTGACCATTTTTTCAGGGTCGTCAGGGTCTTCGAAATGCATGTCTTCTATGTCCAGTGGAAATCCAGAAATCAAAGCAATATTATGGAGAACTGCACATGCAATTATGATATTTTTGGTAGTAGACCGCTTTGCTCTTACATGCTGCAATACAGCAAATCTCCTCTTCCACACTCCAAATGTCCTTTCAATTGTAGTTCTTGTATTAATATGAGATCTGTTATATTTCCTCTGCTTTTCATTAGTTGGATTATGGATTGGAGTGAGTAAGTATGGACGCAACGCATATTCACTATCACCAAGGAGAAAGCCTCTATAATCACCGGCCTGCAGACTTTCACAAAGTCTTGACGATGTGAATATGTGGGAGTCATGAGCACTGCCCGGCCAGTTTACGACAAGGTTTGTAAATTTCATGTGTGCATCACATACGGCCATGACATTAATGGAGAAGAAATTCTTTCTACACCTGTATAGTTCAGGATTTGGCTCTCCAGGGCTCTTGATTGGAATGTGAGTCCCATCTACACAGCCTATCACACTTGGCATTCCAGCAATAGAGGCAAATTCCTGCATGAACTCTTCTTCTCGTTCGGGAGAGGGGAATTTAATATATTCTCGTGCAAGAGTGGCAATAGCAGCAGAAACATTCCGGACACATTTGCTAACACTTGGTTGAGACATGTCTGAACAGTCTCCCAGAGTTATTTGAAATTTTCCTGTAGCCATGTATCTCATGGCAACCAGTAGCTGTAAACCTGGAGGAATTGGAATGCCTGAAAGGAAAGAGAGAAAGAAAAGATAATATACTATTCCTCGTAATGTCTTAAGGATTTAGCACTCACAGGGCAAAAATTTATGCTGTACAGTGCTGTTTTTTAGATTGAACTTAATCCCCCTCTCACTAAAAACCTACTTCATATTTCATGATCATGACATTTATCATGCTGTTCCTCAAGCATCTGATTAGCACTACTATACTGTACTGTATTGAAATAAAAAATATTTGACTACCTCTACGGCTCAGTGACATTGGGAGATGATGTCTGATTTTTGTAAGCAGCTCCCTGGTGCTGTCCTTAGATAGTCTGTAGCGCTGAATAAATTCCTCTTCATTATAATACTGAAAAGGATCTCGTCTTACACGAAATCGTCGCTTCCTCATACCATCTAGCTGACTTAACATCCTTATTTCTTCGATGTCATCAAAGTCTTCTCTGTACCTGTAGGTCTGCATGCTGTAAAATCATAATATTATTAGTATTATTTTATTTATTTGTTCTTAATTGAAATTTTGTAATAACATTTCTTTCTAAGACAACTTACCCCTTCACAATTGCCCCCTGCACAACTACCCCCTGGAAAATTGCCCCACATTACCAGTGAATAACTGGCACAAAATATGGATCTAACCTATCTTTAACTTAAAAAAAAATATATAACTTAACTGAACCTAACCTAACTTAACCCAACCTAACTTAACCCAACCTCACTTTAACTTAATCTAATCGAATTTTAACTTAACCTAACTTAACATAACCTAACTTAACCTAACAAAATATTAAATATGACTGACCCACAATTTTTTCACTTAACCAATGTTTTTATAGAAATCTGTAAGTGTTGCTGATTGAATACCACCATATAGATGGCAAAGTTAAACTGATCTCTCATGCCAATGCAGTGGGTGCCCCTGCCTTGCATTGTACACACTTCAAATTGCATAGAAAATTCTTAAGAGCCAGACTACGTCAAGTTGATCAACTGTGCATCCCATGGGCTTTTTTTGTGACAAACAAGTTTGGTTAATTGTCACTCCCTTACTGTCTACTGTGTTGTGTGCTTTTCTGATATTGTTTAGAATATAGCTAAAGAATGTAGTAATACTTAGATGAATGAAAATATCATTTGTAAAAATTAAAATTAAATTGATTTTTTTTAACCAGAGTGCAGTGTTGCGTGTATCATTAAAACAGTGATGTAGCCTAGTATTGCAGAATTTTAGAGCAAATTAATTGTATTGATAGTAAGCTGTACTTATTCTTTATTTTATTAGTGACAGTAAATATTTCAGTTAAAGAATAAAGAAAATGAAATCTGCTTACTTATGTCGGCATATTTCTGCCTGACACAAACAAGAAATTGTAGATCGTAAACCATAGCTTATATCTTGTTGAAAATAAATATTAACGTTTACACTAAACTATATTACTGGGCCAAAAACTGTGATATTTTCCTTGCTAACTCAAGATAGAGTGAGCTCACTTGGCTTGCCTCATTCCGGAAAAAATAAGTGAATTTCGTGGTTCAGATGGTTGAAATTTTATTACTACGACGACAAAAATATTGTATGAATGAATAAAGATAAGAAACATACCTTAAATTATAACAGTAGTAAGTGTTAAATGAAGATGAGGCTCACAGCACATCAGCAGTCGTCATCGAAGTCGAAGCTGTGATGTCAACGACTCAACATTCCAATAATGTTTTAAGTTCATAACAGTGTTGTGAAAGTTGATTTATCCGTATTAACATTTCTTTTAATTGTTCTTATAAAAAAAATAATATCATTCGACGTAGACATCTGGAATAAAGTACTGGAAGAACTTTCATAAAATATAATGATGATTATTATTCTTCGTAAGGCAGCTATCGGGTGTGGGTAGGTACCCGATATTGTTTCCAACATTTCAGGGGTATGCGCACTGTTCCCTTCCGATACCTCGTGCTTCGTAATGACTAGGAATACGGTGTAAACAGAGAAACCAGATATCAGATGAACAACAATGTTATAGGTAATCTGAAAGTGAGAAAGATTTAGGAGTAATGATAACTAGGAATCTTAAGCCAAGTAAACAATGTGTATTTGCTCGAAACAAGGCTAATAAAGTACTTGGGTTCATACAAAGGAGTGTTAGTTACAAAACTAGAGAGGTCATCCTGAAACTATATATCTTGCGCTTGTGAGACCACACCTGGATTACGCAGTTCAATTCTGGTCACCTTATTATAGAATGGATATAGAATCCCTAGAAAGAATACAGGAGAGAATGACAAGAGTAATCCCGGGTATTAGGAACTTTGAGTACAGAGACAGGTTAAAGCATCTTAATTTGCACTCCCTCGAGAGACGTAGAGTGAGGGGCGATATGATAGAGGTGTATAAATGGAAGTCAGGGATAAACAAAGGGGACATAACAAAGGTACTCAAACTATCCAACCAGGAGCGAACTCGTAACAATGCTTTTAAATTAGACAAATTTAGATTTTAATCGCGAAATTGTAACATTAACTCTGGTAATTATGGTTATATACTTAAGAACAAACAGGTACAGTTTGCAAGAATTTTCTGTGAACGAGACCTTGAATATTTTGCGTCACCTGAGACAAGTTCATTACGCCTTCGTTCGTTCTGACTCATCTCTCCAGCTCACATTTGTTTTCGTGATATTAATTAAGTATTCATAAAAAATTCATACTATTGGGATTTATTATCTTAATATACGTCTTCATTTTATTTCTGATCAATTCACGAATAGGTAAGCGTCTTTCTATAGTAAACAATACTGAGCAAAAACGTCGCAATAGGCAAAGGTATGTAGATTTCAGACGATTACAACCAAGTGAGTAATAGTGGTGAAATTGTAGATGATACTTTAACCTTACGACATGTTACCAAACAAGCTCAGGAATCTTTTTTTTTTCTTCATCTCTGTGACACAAAATTAGGGAGAGGAATAATATTAAAAACTTAAACTGCAGCCTACCATAGTTCACTCATGGCGTCAATTTGTCCTGCCTGTGTCAAATCTAGCCAGTGTCTACTTAGAAAGTGCGCGCACGCGCAACACACCATACACCATTCAAGTTACCTGTAGTGCGTGCATTGTGGGTATGACGCTAACCGCGTCAGTATCAATTAACACCATTAAGGAAAATAGATTAGCTGTAACTCCAATATTCTGATGACAACTTTAAAAACTGACCTTTATTGTATATTTAGGTTTATTAAGTTAAAAACCAACAAAGCTGCAGCAATTTTAAAAATTAAACCTGTAACCTAATCCAAGCAAAACCTTTACAACAAGCTAATCACTCACATTAACCATTATATAACTTACTTTTAGGAGATAGGGGGCATTTACTGACTAACTAGCTGAGAAGCATGAATGCAGGTAATGCCTATCCAGAATACCCATACCCGTAACTTGCCACACACCGTTTAGTACATTTATCAATAACATTGTCATAATATCAAAGAATTATTGCATTGAATATAATTTTATTAAGAAGGCATGCGAAATTACTAAATCCTGGTGCAATATCTCACAATTTTAACATGATGTCATCTTTCGTGGTGTAAAGGAAGTGTCAACAGGTACAAACCGGATGGCGTATGACTTGAAAATGGGTTATCCCACATTCGTTGAGTCCCAGGAAACTACTTACTGACCTGAATTGTAACAAAGAGGCATCATGATTATACCGATTTCAAATCAGATTGCTGAGGATATTGATATCCAAGTAAAATCGCATATATCTGGAAAAGTGAACATACTGTTTTTAGTGATACTCTGAAAAACTGCTAAGCCCTCGCGCGATAAATTAATAGAAATTACAATAAACATTGAAAGTTTTAAAACACTTAACATTGAACAATACAAACGGTTTTCAAAGGTACAAGTATATGAAGTATATGGCGATTAAAAATATGATACAGTGTCCATAAATGATTACCCTGATTAAAGCATGAAAGCATACTGCTTTTAAGGGTAATCATTTATGGTTTGAGCTGTACGAGAAAATCATTGGTGTTCAGAAGTCGGACTGCTGTCTCCCGCCTGGCGTTGCGGATACAGCCTACACCTAAATGATTCTGGAAAAGACTGTGAGCACAACAGGGGGTTGTGACGTGCGAGTGCTCACCGCTCAATACTGAAGTGACGTCAGCGTCCGGTGTTTTATTTTTACTCTACATAGGGTAGGAATAAGCATTAAAAAACTGACATCGCCAAATAAGGATAATCTTTTCCTTTTATTGCTACTACTTGATGCTAATTAAATCGTGTGTTAAAATTTATTCTTTCATTTGAGATGCCGTTTACCATCCATCAAAAGATAGAAAAATAATACCTCAGTTGGTTAGTTAAGGTTAGGTTAGGTTTTTATATGAAATTCTTCACCTGTGTACAATATTGTGATGATCAACGACTGTACACGATCGTCCATGCCTCTATGGCCAGTCACAAGTTAAAAAAAATATATATATTAAAACAATCATAAACCACGTGGTGGAAAAAGAAAATCACAAATTTGTTAAGCGCTTTCGTGTATTTAACACATTTTCAGAAGCAAATTACACACAGTCACCAAGAGCTACATGTTGTCTCTGCCACTCACAGTAGGCGACTGTGTGTGTGTGTAGTAATTTAGCCCATTAAGGATACAGTATAGTCACTCATGTGGGAAGTTAAACACAAAATATTTTCTTTTGCTTTTATTGATAGTCTGCACAAAATAGTGTATATTTCTTTGTATAAATAATATTGATATTCTTATTCCCTGAAAGAAAAAGCTGCACAAGTCTTTATGAACAACTACAATTATTCATCTTTATATTTGTATAACTTAAGATGTCTTAAAGATGAATAACACTTAGTTTCTCAGAGACATTTATTCATAGGAAAGACATAATCTTGTACTAATAATCACACGTTAAACTGTTACATTGTTGTAGGATATAATCCTGGGGGGAAAAATATAAATGTATCTAATTACCGTGTTATACAGATACAATTAGTTTATAAAGGTATTTGTTACAAACGAGTAATAACTACTTGGAACAAATACAAAGTCTAACCAGTATAATAGCTGGATTGCATTAAATACAAATTTAAATCAATATTAACTTTATCATTACATGTTGGAAGGAAACAAACCCTCCACAGCATGAACTATAGCACAATACTTCTCTATGCTACTATGCTTCCTTTCTTTCAAGACAATTGTGTGTAATATGATGATCTAATTACTGGAAGCTATAAATAAGGTAAAAAGGAAGTTTTGAGGCACCTGGTTATAACGGCACTTATGGGGAAGAATTATGGGAGGACCAGGGTGGAGTGTGGTCCATATGGATTATAGTGATCTGGGAGATAAGATCTAGCTACTTATTTCTCAGTAACACGAACATGTACCGCACATGATCGATTACGAGAAATTCTCACTGAACCTGAATGCCAAGAGTCCTGACGACAGAGGTGAGCCTTTCCTTGTTGCGGAAAAGCTGTTGAAATAGAGAAAGGCGCTGTTTCAGAGCCAAATTTTGATTTCGTAGTTGGTTCCTCTCTTGCAGTAAGTCCTGGGGCGAACAATAGGTCACCGCGACACCTTGTTGCAAGGGAATATTGTAAACTGGCATCACTACCAGTGGTCCGCTGAATCCTGAAGCTTGAGAAGAGTTCATCTGGGTTTCTTGCACAGCTCGAGCCCTTTTGGTGGGCGGAGAGCCACCAGTACCTGACGTGGCTCCTGGGGATGTCTGAGGTACAGGACGTTTATTACTGGTAGTTGGGATGTTGATATTTGTATACGCAGTCCTCATTACTGATGGTGCAACGGGAGTACTTTCAATGTTGGGCCTCGCTGATGGGGGCGAAGCGTTGGCCGCAATTGTGGATGATGACGCAGTTGATGGAGCTGCTTTACCTTCAGGAATAATGAACTCAACTTGTGGAGGTTGGCGCTGGTGGAGAGCAGCAGGTAGTGTGCGGGGTATAGGCACCATGGCCGCCAGAGAGGACACTCGAGACAAGTCAGTGATGACAGATTCAAGACTTCTATTCGCCCTACTGTTGGGGATACGAACCAAGGACCGCGTCAGGTTACCCTCGAAGTACGGAGCGACCATGTTGGTGGCCAGTAGTAAAGTTGTATTTACCAAGTAGAATGACTTGGTCAGGTGCCCCTTACCGATGGTGTGATGGGGGTGGGGGGGGAGCTCACGTCGTTCTTATATCTATAGAATAATAAAAACAGTATTTAAGTATTGCTTGAAGACTTATTTGGGTACTACTCACTGTTGGTGTTAGTTACTGTAGGTAGACGGTCACACACTAGTGAGACAGACCCAAATTATAACATACTAAAATTTTGTTCACACACAGCTTTTAATTTTCCAACTTAAATCTTACGGTTCATTTATCACATTATTTGGGAAGTAACGATGTCTGTCGTTGTCGATGTAATAAATAATACTCACTTGTATATGAAGCAAGTCTTATCACTGATTCACTCTCACACAGGAAAACACACCTGCATCAACTGCTGGTTGGATGTGGACTGAGTATCAGTCGCCGCAGCTTGTTTTATAAAGGACAACCACTCGATTGGTTTACATCATACTGGAGAAACGTTTATTTCTCAATGTGGCGCAAAACATAAACGTACTGATCTCACGTGCTGTTAACGTTCCCCACTTGCACGCTTCTGCATGATGTTTTTTGTACAGCATATTTCTTTCTTTTCTTCGTATTATTTCGGAACTTTGATCAAAAGCAATAAAAATGAGTAAATATTAGAAAACTGACAAACTGGCAACTTATTGTTGGTTGGTGAATTATATACACTAATAAGTAGGTAATACATAGTTTATATAAGCGGATTGATTATATGCCTTATCTACATAGAATACGAAACTAATTTGGATAATTTTCATATTGGAACTACTTGTTTTATCACATTATAAAAGAAAGTATTGTAGGATGGATACTTTTCGGCAACCTCAGCCCAGTTGCCAGCAAATGTTTATCCAGTACAGTATTGTGGTGTGCTGCTAGAAGGCTCAGGATGCGTCTCGCTCCCCAAATACGCATTTGTGACTTGTGCCTCTTCTCATTTCTATCTCAATCTCTTTTTTTCATCACCGTCTTAATTTTATTTTTTTAATCTGTCTTAACATTCCTTTTTGTTCCATACCTTTTTTTATTCTTCATCCGTGCTTTATTCTATTCCCTCATTCCTGTCCTAACCCTAAGTCCTCAGCCTTGTAGAGATACTTACAGTAGGTGCTACTGTAGCGTACTGTATGTGGCCAGTCGTCAATTCTCTTTAGTTGTCTATTGTCACTTTGTATGGGCACACAAACTACACTACTACGTGCGGTCTACCAGATATTTAGGTTAGGCTGAATTAGGTTAGTTTAGGTTAGGTGGTATATGATATAAAATAAACTGTGATATTTCAGATATATGATTATTATGTTGTTATTTATAATACTTTGATCAATGGCCCAAACATACTACTGTACTCTTGTACAGTTATCATCTTGGGTGTAAAGTAGTTTTAACAATGTATTATTATGAAAAATGAACATATGAAAAAAGTCAGATAAAAAGTTACAGAAAAAAATCAGTTTAATTAGGATTTCATTTTTTGAGCACGTTGAAAAATCGATACTTTCGGGTAGTTTAGTCTCGGCAGTAATAATATAACCGTATATATATATATAATACTTATTAATTAACATACACTTACATCACTTCATTGTATGTACACGAGTTACTCACCTACAGTCACACAGCCCGTAGATACATCATAAAGTTGTTATTTTGGGTCATTTTGCCTTCTACAACTATTTACGGTTTCCGGGTCACATCTTCTACTCTTGCTGACGTGATCCGCGACCTTGACCCATGTATGCTGTGTCAAACAAGGTATAACAGTGTTCTTACGGACGGATGCAGATAATGTCGGAATGGAGGAGGACAGAGGACTTGATTCGCCACGTTTTGAAAGGAAGAATATTAACAAAAAAAGATTATCAGGTAGCTAGGCAAAGTGAGGAAAAAAGTGAGAGGATTTGTGACCCCCCGGCCCCCTTCACACACACTAAGGAAATCTTTGGAAAACAGGTATTAGTATTTGATTGCCCTATCCTCCTCTTCTGTGAGAATTTCTACACACAAAACACCGGAGAATTCGCAGTTTTTGTGGATGGTGTGTGCGAAGGACCCAACTGGAAATAAATATCCGAAGGCTTTCATTGACTATCCTTAGTTAAATTTCTTGACTGTTTACCATTGTTTGTATACCTGCACGGTCTATGTCCACGTTGTTTACCTGTGTTGTCTATATGCATGTTGAGCTCCATATGTATGTATGTATGTATGTATGTATGTATGTTCTGGTGACTTCCTTGGACGAGTTTATTTCCTTTCAAGGATAGAGCAGCACATAACAAGCACCAGCACGTGACAAGGATACAGCAGCACGTGACAAGGATACAGCAGCACGTGACAAGGATACAGCAGCACGTGACAAGGATACAGCAGCACGTGACAAGGATACAGCAGCACGTGGTACAAGGATACCACTTAAAAATTCCGGATATTAAGAACGTATACAGTTACGTTATGTGGATGACAAGTGATTGAATGAGTGTCGTGTGTGGGGCAGATAATTACGCCATATTTGTTCTATTATGGCCGGCTTCTACAGTAAAGGTGTATAGTATACTATATGTTCTCACAGTACAGATGGCTACATAATGTAATAATATAGTTTACAAGAGCTGCTTGTTAGATAAAAGTACAAGTGAAGTGGCGTCGTACATAATGACGTCACATATCGTAATCTGATGAGTCATGCGTCTGGCAGCGAAACAAACTATGACGCAACGTTTTTCACTCCGTAAGCAATTTTTTTTTTATTGGGCACCCCCTACAGCCTTGTGTAAGGTGAAGCGCAGAAGCGTTTACAGTGCCCAACAGGGAAGCATGCTAAGTTCATGCTTGCCTTTATGTCTCATGAGTTAAGGGCGTAGAAGCCTGAATAGTCAAGGGCATAGAAGCCTGAAGAGTCAATGGTTTTTATATCAGCAGGTTATTGGAAGCTCCAACAACTTGTCCCGGAATACGAATTCGCATCCGTAAGCAATATAGTTTGCATGAAACTTTCTTTATAGAGTGTTTACCTCTCATCACTCCGACCTGGGTTTAATTTTTAGCGTGTGTCGGATGTTAGAAGGTTCTCGTTGAGCGAGACGCTAATAATGAACACCATAAGCCTTAAGAACCAGGGGGTGGGGGGGAGTACTCAGTGGCCTTAAGGCTTCACTTAGTACCCCCCCCCCCCCTGGTCCTAAGATGATGCTGAGCCAGATACACAGACCTGACATCGTGCTCCACTATACTCCATTAAATTACTGGATTACATACAGGCGCTAGATGTAATGTAGTGGTGGTTATAGGAGGAGAAAGTAGGGGAGGGAGTTTTTCCCCTGACTGAAGATGAGAGAAGCCATCTGAATGTCTTAATTAAACTGTTAAACTACGATGGCACCGAGAAGGGCGGAGATTATACATGCGAACTTCCATTTACGGAAAATAATAATTTGCCCGTCACCTCACCTCTGTCTGTTCTGCTACGCACTATTGACTGTATACGGGACATGAGACGCTACCGAGTGAAGGTTATTGAAAGATAAACTAAACCAACACAGGCATATGTTCGTGTACACTCAAGAGCCTGTACATGTCAGTACTTGCTAACAGAGGACTAACCGACTGCCCACCGCCTAGTACAATATATACATTGTAGAATATTAATGAACTCGTGTTAATACTTAGTTCAGGTCGTGTAAAAATTATTTTGTGTACCAATCTTGTTAACCGAAAAGTTGCAGACCTTTACTTTACAGACCTACATTGTCTGCGTACATTGCATAACTGCACTGTCTGTACACACTGATCCAAAGTGAACTAGTGTGGTGATTATACTGTAGTCAGTACAGTACAGTGCAGTTTTAACTATCTACCAGGATTCAGATACTAGTCAAGTGATAACACCACCATTGTGTATTATAACACACAAATATACACAAACTTGGAATACCTTCTCGATGTGTCAGCTTGCATTTCTTGAAATAACCAGTTCAAAATTTTGCGAAATGCAAACGAATGTGTATGCGTCACCGAGTGGGTGGTCCTGATCAAGCGCAGGAGTGCGGCAGTCATCTTCCTGGAAAAAACTCAACAGTTCCCAGTAGCAAGTTTCGCTCGACACTTGTTCATCTGTGGATTTACTCTCTAAAGAAGATATGTGTGTGTGTGTGTGTGTGTGTAAAGAAACATTCTCGTAGGAACAATTTATCACACGTAGCGCAACATTGCCAATATCATTATACTTTGGCATCTCAGTAAAGATGCCAAATGCACGCGGACTTCCCTTAGACAGCATTATTTGTGTTTGAAACAACTCTTATTTATTGTCAAAATGTAATAATCCATTTATTCGACATATTCAGTGAACAGATGCAGTGTCCAGGATTGGGCCACTAAGAGTCCAGCCGAATAGCTGCACAATTAAAACATAATGCAGGTAGTGAATCACTTCCTGTGTTATGTGACAGGAGGGAGGCAGTGGTGACGTCAAAATTGCAACAGAGGGAGAGGAATATTAGTCCAACGTTGATGCTGAACCAGTACTGAACATCATCTTATTTGTATTATAATATATATCTAAATCGGTTTTCTAATTTCGTTATTCAGTAATCTATGATTAATTCATTCAGCATGAAAATGTATTTTGTATTTTACGTTATTTACTTACTATAGTTACCACGAATGTCAATAATTTCGAAAGATTTACATCATAAATTCGCATAACGTGAGAAAAAATTATGCTCACTTTTTTACGGGGAATAGCCCACCCGACACAGGTCATCGACCCGCAACGGGGCCTGGGGGATAGGAGTAAAAATAAATTAAAAATAGAAGAGATAAAGACTAAATTAATCTACACCACGAAGATGCCTGAAAACTAGCTTTTTGAAGTGAGACAGATTGTATAATCATCGAAACACAGAAGAAACCAGAGCATTCCACAGTTTGGTTGTGTGAGGAAAGAAGGATGTCCTGTAACGGGTTATTCTAGTGTGACCGACATCCACAGAGAAACGCCAAGAGGAGTGTTACGAGCCCACTGTCTTGCTGGCGGTACACAGGATACTAAATCCACCAAACATTGTCCGTTAAAGTACCTGTAAGAGAGAGAGTGAAGCAACACTGCGGCGAAGAGAAAGGGAAGAGAGATTATTAACTAAAGGAGGAGAGTTAATAGGACGATATGCCTTTGATTCCACGTTATCTAACAGCTGCATAGAAGAGCCACCCTAGATATGAGAGCAGTACTCCAAGTTAGGACGAATGAGTCCCTTATAAACTTGAAGCAACTGTTCAGGAATGAAGTAGCTACAGCATCTGTACAGCATTCCCAACTTTCGGGAGGCAGCTTTAGCAATGTTGTGGATATGTGGTTCGAGGGTTTAGATGTTAACGCCCTCTGGTTCTTTTAAAGATTACTGTCAGGTAGAGCACTAACGCTTTCACC